TCTCTCTCTCTCTCTCTCTCTCTCTCTCTCTCTCTCTCTCTCTCTCTCTCTCTATTTATTTATCTATCTATCTATTTATTTCTCTCTTTCTTTCTGGATAATTAGATGAATATATTTCATGAATGAATCAGCAGTACTCTTTACGTAATTGTAAAATTCGGGATACATTTGTGTCGCAAAACGAAATTCTTTCTCCACTCAGCTGGCACTTAATTTCAACTTTTCAATCATCATATGTTGTTTTAGAGAGACTGTTGAATTGTTTGTCAAGAATAGTTTCTATTATTAATAGAAGTGAAATACAGTACTCTCTAAATTCCCACTCGAAAAGTGACAGATGAAGCACTTGAATTCGAATAATTTTTCATTCACATGGAGTGAATTTTTTACTAGAATTGTCCTGTGAATATTTTCTTTCAAAATTGTAAAATCAATTTTAAACAAATTTACTCTAATTTTCTATACTGTAAAATAGAACTTATCTTTAGACCCGACAGAATCATCGACGATCCCACGAATTTTTGCCAGCCCATAATAATATATTTGATAAAAGTTGTATTCACAGCAATATGCAAGCGAGAAATACTTCACATCTTATTTAACTAAAATTCTCAGTATTTACCTATCGTATTACAACAATACTATGTACCAAACAGCGATATTGGCCATCGTGCAATGCAGCGAATTATCTAAGGTTGGGGCATGATAATCTGCGCCGACAGACATCCACAGCCAGTGCGAACTGGGAAAAAGCATTTATCACAACTATATTTCTTTCGTAATTCGCTGATGGACATACAAGTATCACTGAGATTCTGTGGCATTCTTATATAGCGCATCGTTACGCAATAACCTTTGCTTATATGACGAGATTTGAAACACAGTTTTGGAAAGTAACGTTACCAGTTTTTTTTTTTTCATGAGACAGATGGCAGCAAATCTAGGCAGAAGATCTAATCTTGATGAAAAATGTGGATGAAAATTGTCATGACTCGCTACTTCCTGAATAACGGTAATGATAACGGTAACTTTTGAAAAATAACTTTCCCAATCCTGCTGGGAGGACGGAAATGATGAAGAAAAATGCAAACTTAAACTAGACTCGGGTAGATAAGATTTTTAGAGTATCCATTCGAATTATAAATGTCTGCGTGCACTGTGGCGCACACTAAGACTTTTCCATATCGAAGATTTTGTGCTTCAATCGATATTAAAATCTTCTGTCTAAAAGGTCCCAAGTTATTTGCGAGCCTTGTATATTTCTTTTTCGACGTTGCATATACACGCGACTTTACACCTAGCGCATTGACGCGCGGCGTTATTGCATGTTCTATTTCTCGTCACTGGCATGTTTGTCATATAGACGCGGCCGTCGGCAACACGAATCTAAAAATGAACTCGCGCTATCGACATCGGACTAAATGACTGCCGAAAAGTCACCAGAATGGAATCTCTCACGTTGGCGTGTACGTGACCAAATTAGACAACGCCGCCGCATAACGCAAAAACACCCTCTTTTCTCATAACTGGCTGACAAAACGACAAAATAGGTCGCACATGTCGATGTCGAGTCACGTGTTTTCGCGTCATCCTTCCTGGAGACACGTGCGAAAATCGACATGTAACAAATAGACGATGGGACCTCGTTCGCGGTATTACGAAACCGAGGCGCTTTTAGCCTGTCAACACCGTCATATTTAGCGACACAAATTATAAGCAATTTATTTTAGGAGCAAGCGAAAACGTAATGTGGAAATGTACTGCTTCGACCGTCTCGCGTGTAAGCATTTGAAATTTGCATATTTCCACCCCATAACTCCTCTCTTTTAATTCACCGTGATATTCTGTGACAAGTATCTTAATTAATTTTTCATCCGGAAAAGTGTCGAGGATTCACGATTAATCGGATTCTCACGATTAAAAGGAGTTGCTTGTTTTCACTGCAAATGATCGTCAATTTACTTTGGACGTTTAACTGTCCACACTTTACGTGTGGAGTGTAATTGTCACCCAGAGTACGAGGTCCAATAGAAACAACGAGGCGAGCAAATAGTGTACACACGATTATTCCGAATTGACGAGCGACGAATACACAAGTATCGTCGCAGATTTAAGAGAAACTAGATATTCAAACCATTGTGCACATAGATGTATCTTAAACTTTTATTTTACAGAACCCCCCATTACAATTCTTGAATATTTAAATAAAGTAAGAAATGTTTCCTGAATGCAATTATATTGTTCTAAAAATATCATTTTGAAAGCACATTTTTTATCTTTGTTATCCAGTGACAAAAATCGAAACCATTGAATACCAACGAATAGAACAGGCAACCAGATATTGCTCCAAAGCAAGAGTGTAAATAAATATGTTTTGCATCTATCATTCTTGCATACAGTTCATGAGAAATCGAAGTTGCTTGAGAGCAACTTAATCAAGGCTTAATATATTGTATGAATTATACACAATATATTAAAGGCTTAATATATTGTATGAATTATACACAAATACATCTTCGAGAGACAATTCTTTCGTATAAGAAAAAAAAGAGAGAGTGGATAGAGGGAGAAGAAGACATTGAGTGAAATTAAAAGCTCTCAAATCTATTTAAAAACTACTAGACTAGAAATCAAGAGCTAATTGGTTTGCGCCAAAAAAATGGGAGAGAGAAAGAGAGAGAAGAAACAGAGATATATTTAATTTTAGTGATAAATTTAGAACAACAATTTCTCCTAGAAGAGTAGACAGACAGCCATTATGACGATAACTCAGCGTTGAATGGCCGTAAGATGACTATGTATCCCGTACTTCCTCAAGCCATCCGTAAAGCGCTACAACGAGCCTCTTGAGCAACGACGTAATTAAGTAACCTGTCCTTCTCTTTTGCGGCTCGATCAACCCTGTCGTGGAATAGAAACAGAGCCAAGTGTCACCCCCGCTGACTGTGTTAAATTTGATATATCGCGCTCTCTTGAGAAAGCAACGTCACAAGAGAAAAAATGCCTACCTTAAGCTCGCCGTGTAATTTAGACCGCGACAGCAACGGTAATCATTTCGTCTGTCAAAACATGCCGGCGATTTTTATTTATAGAGTTTTTCTTACGGAGGTCTTTTCGAGCGCAACCCGGAAATTGTAAAAAAAGATTACTTAAATTTAGCATCAGATGCAGAGTGTAACACGCGGATTTCCTGAGGACGTAAATTTTTAGACTTTGCTTCTTCTGATTAATGAAAACGGAGAGCAGTGCGCGACACTTTTGTAATATTTCCTAAACGGTTTAATGAATCCTCGTGGAACACGTCATACATATGCTTTTTTAGCGTAACAAAATAAAACTTGTCAAGATCCGACGTTTGGCGCAGCGCAAAAACTTTTCTGTGCTCGCTCATCCGAGTTAATCCGTTGAAGAGCCGCACGATGCATTATAAAGCAACAATAGCATATACGTTTTGCGCCCATCCGGAAAGGATGTTACAACGGCGTTCTTGTTAGGCGGCTCGCGTAAGAAAGAACACCTAGAAGAAGCAGAAGCGGGAGAAGAAGAATGAGAGGAGAGAAATCACCAAGGGAGAAATCTTGCGCGAAGCGTCGAGATGCGAGTCTCTCTCGGTTCTGGCAAGCTCGAGCACTTTTCTAAATATACACGATCGCCCCTCACCAGCGAATCTATCTTTACGTATTAGAATCTATACCTAACGACTCGAACGTCTCGCTTTACCGCGCGGCCGAGTCGCCACGCGACTTCGCCTAAAAATCAGCCAGATGCTTCCAATAAAAATTACCGCGAGGACAACTTCAAACACCCGCGAAGACGTTACCTCAATGATAAACTGCACTGCAACGGGCCAACGTCTGACTTGACTCTTCAGCGTGACTAGTCAAGGTCGAAATGTCACGATCAAGCGTGATTTCACGCTTATTTCTATAGCGCGATAATCAGTCGAGAATTATTGCAATAAAAAAAAATTTACACAATAGAGGTCGCTGAGAGTTTGAATATCTTTGAATCACAAAACCACCATCTAAACCAAATTACAGAAGCTAGACTAAGTAGTGAGGAATATCATTTGAACCAAATCGCAAAAATTAAATTAGATAGTGGAAATCATCACCTGAATTAAATTGCAATAACTGAAGTAAATAGCAGAAACCACCAGCTAAACTAAACTGCAGCAGCTACCGTCATTGAGACAATGTAAAACAGGATATCGCCAAACAGAGAAATGCTGCGAGAATTTACGAGAGACCGTTTCGACCGCGAAAATAATCCGAAGGGGCGCGAATACGCGCACGTCCTGTGAATTTCGTCGAAGTTGTCGTAACTCTGTTGCCGAACGGCACGCTAAAGCCGCGTTCGGCAATTTGTTTTTAAATACGCTGCTTCTCGGGAGAATGGATACTCCGTCTCGGATGTGCTCCGTCTCATCGACGTATTTAATACCGACTTCGATGCTACCGCGAACTGATTTACGATCGAAAATACAGAACTCGCTAAAGAGAAATAAGCAGATCGACCAGACGGCGTAAATCGCGCCTTTGCGAAAGCGAGACTCAGAATGTCTGTGAACGAGTCGAAGCAGGAGAATGTTGAAGGGAAGACCTTGCTAATTAGCACGCGGGCGCGTACACGTAAATAACGTCTCTCA